TGTTGTGCTTGTCCTGTGCCAGCACGCGTTGCGTAATCTCGTACACGCGTGCGCGGTCTTCGCCGCAGTCCATCTGAGAGCCGCAATCAACGGCTACAAAAGGGGGTCCCATTTCTCGTTTCCTGAACGGATTTCGCTGCTTCTTTCGCCACTGACGTACCATTGAGGACCCCCTCGTCCCCTCTGAACCCCATTTAAACCTAGCGTAACCGCTGCCTTTAAGGGTAAGGTTTGTTGCTATTGCAATTTTAAGGCCCATCTTGCCTTCTCAATGAGTCCCATTACTCCACTATCGCGGTCCCAATATGGAAACTTTTCCTATTTTCCGGGAGGATATTCATTCTTGTTTCATGGAAGGAAATTTGCTGAAATGCCACGAAGGGACACATGGAGATGCTGCGATGCGCGTTTTCTTATCAAACAGCTTACGTGTTATCACCTCGATGAAACGTTCCACACCGTTTTTCCTCGCTTCACCACTTTCCTTGTCGTTCAGAATTTTTGAACTCTGGTCTCATAGTCAGTGAATACCACCAGTGTTTTGTGGACCAATGCTATGTCGAAGACTTCCTAGCGAGCTGTTAGCCCTCAATGTGAAGAAGAATTCATAAGTATTACCAGCATATTCATTACATCAATTTTACACCTCTAGCTGCAACCGAGAAGTTACCAAACTGAGCTTCCTAATTACCAAAGACCTCAGCTTCAATTCTCACTGTGATATTACTACTGAAAAATGGTTACTTGTATATTACTTATTCGAGCTTTCTCAAGTAGAACAGTTTTACTAGAAAGCTAATGGTGAGGGTACTTGGCTTTACCTATGATCAAGTCCTTTCAACTGCTGTCAGAAATAAAAATAGCGTCCTTACTTTGGAGTTCAGATGGAGGGAGAAGATTTCTTACTTCACAGACTGATACACAGCACAATAACGCTGCATCTTGGTGAATTCCTTATCCGAAGTTCCTCCGTGTCGAGAGGCGATGGATTAAAAGTTGAATTGTAGGAGTCATTTATCTAATCACAGGTTTGGTTCCCCTCTTTCGATCTTTCGAAAGTCGCAAGAACGTCGAATATTAACAGCATCCTACAGCATAGTCATAAACTTTTGGTTAATTGCTCGAGCCGACGAATTCTTCGTGCCTGGATTCCTCTTTTTTAGCTGCTTTCATGTTTTTTTTGCCTCTTTGTTAAATCTTTGATGAATTCAGTGTTAAAGGCAGCGATTACGATAAATTCAAGAAGGGTTCAGTGCGACGTGGTAGTGCTCAATGGTACGCCGGTAGCGAAAAAAGCAGAAAATCCGTCAAGAGAACGCAAAACGGGACCCCCTTTTTGGCCGTTGAACGCAAAACGGGACCCCCTTTTTTGGCCGTTGGTTTTCACTCATGAACAGGTAACAGCTCAGAAAGTGGACGTATGAACGAGTTCACCGCAACGCGTTTGATGGCACCATGCCAAACCACGCTTAATCGAGATGCTCCATTTGTGCCGCTGCTGGCAACGCAGCTCGTCCAAATCAACAAGTAAACTAGTGGGCGGATCGCTTTTGGGGCGGAGCGCTTTCGAAGTCCTGCTCAGCAACCAGCGCACCTTTCGTCGTGAAAGCGCCACACCTCGCTTCCTGGCAGCCAAGTAACTGATTCGTGTGGTGCATATGCTTCCCCGATGCGCTCCCTCTTTATCGTAATCGCTGCCTTTAAGTCTAATGCACGCTTGTGTTATAATTTGTAAATGCATATGTAACGCGAATTACAATTTAGAATGTCGTTATTCACACCTGCCGGAGGACTTTTGAACACTCATGTTCAATGGGACGACCTCCAGGAAAGCGTTCTCGAGGCATTCGGGCCAGACGCGATATTCGGACCGAACAAGGACGTCAAAGATGTCGGATGTGGCAATGTAAATCTCAAATTCTTACAGGAATTCATGCAACTAATGCTCACAGTGCTATTTCAAGGCAAAAGACCGAGAAATCCATGATTAAGGGCTTCATGTCAAGAATATGCTTGGTGTCGCCCGACTGGAAGACGGAAATGGAAGGAGTGCCAGATAAATTCATTGTGAAGGTAGGAGTTTGAAGGCAATTATCGCAATGGGTGGGGAGGCGGTTCGGTTTTGATGACGTCATTGAGCGTCATTGGTGAAAGGGCGTAAGAGATGGTGGCATCACCCTTGCTGAGCTGAGGGATGCGGTCTACCAAAAGCATTTTATGACATCATCGAAACCGCACGCTCCACATGTGATCACTGCCTTCAAATCAGTTGCAAGTTATCAATGACGCCACATAAGTATTACAGATATCGTCGCAGTTACCATTGCTTGAATGCCAAGGACTCGACGAAACTGGTCACTTCACGAGTGAGGGATTTGCCAAGAAGTTCGAGGAAGACGTGAAAATGGTAACGCTAGTTCCTATAATTTATTTGATAAATGATGGCTTACGAAAGCTATGATCTCGATTTGGCTCGATGTGGCTCGGGGGGGGGGGGAAGAAGGGTATGGGGGAGGGTGGCAACTGCCGCTGCGGCGCATGGCATGTTCGCGCTCAAAATAGTGTAACCTTGAATATTCAGCTTCTCACCAACTGACTCGCTGCCCCCTCCCCTTGGTGGCTACACTCCCCTGCTTCGTGGTTTCCCGCTCCGCACTGAAGTACGCGAACATCAGGCGCCACGGCGGCGACCGTACTTCCCCCCCCCCCAAGCCGCATTACGCCCTCGATTTTTAGAACCACTCTTCAGCTGTCACTTTAAGATTATTCATGAATTCAAATTGAAATGAGCGTCCCTTTGTTTCACTTTTTTCGACTTTTTCTTTCATTTTAGGCGTAACACCTTATTCTATAAGGTAAGTAAGCAAATACAGTAATAAATAAAAGTGGAAACAACCGCTCTAGTGGAGACTCATCGATCGCTTATTCAGCATAAGAGAAAGCTCGCGATCAACTTGAGCACAGGATAGTGTTGGAGAAAAAAAGAAATCGAGAGGTTTCAATGTTATCAGATGCCGAACATGGATTTTCAAGGAAATAGTGGAAACAAGGCATGCTGGGGTGCCCTATACGATAGACCCCCTCACAGACCTCTACCCGGTCAGGATGAACCTGGAACCGTCTCTCAATCGCAAGGGAGGAATGACTCGAGAAACGACGCAGAAATGAGAAGGGCGTCCTACCGTCACAGCATGGGTGGGTTTTTGTAGAGTCAGGCGAGTAGTGACGAACTTACTTCCAAGTACTGCTGATACTCAGCTCGATAGCTGTTGACCTTACCGGAGCAGGTAGAACCCTGGCATGATTCCACGTCGTGTGAAAACCGCTGACCGCCTTCTTACCAATCCCAATATCACCTCTTAGATACGCTCGTTCTCACGCAATCTGTCGCTCCGTTATTCATGGGATAATTCTTTGGAGCTGTCGTTGAAGCAACGTTCATCCTCCCTTCTTGGGGTGTTGCGTAGAGTCCTCCAATGGTGATGTCTTCCTTGAGGCGCTCAACTCAAGCGCTGTCTGTCGTTTCAGAGATTCGAGTGAAGAAGCACTGACCATCGACGCTCGAGGGATCAGGGAGTCAATCGTCCGCTGGATCAAAGTCCACACGAGGGGGTTCGTATTTTTGCCGACAAATACGGGCGGTTCGTATTCGGCAAGCGTCGGACCGGCAACACGTTGACCCATCAACTAACCTCCATAACGGGGGCGAGATAGGGTCGCCCAAGTCTCACGTGGCTTTGTGACGGTTTTAATGAAGCTTTGTGAGCTGTTGTTAACCCCTACCCCCCCCCCCGTCGACACGGCTATCAAAATACTGTAGGAACAGCGGGGGAGGCGTATCGAGGCGCCTCAGAAGGAGAGGCGGGTCGGTGAATTTTTGAAATTTTCAACCGTGACGTTACCCTGGTTAGATGCGGTTCGGCATACGTATTCTGGTCCACCGCCAAGTAATGGCGCATGAAAAACCACCTGACTCTTCATTCGTTATCGCAACCGGCGATGACTTCTAAGATTGAGTTCTCGGACAGAGTTTCGAAATCCCTGTTATTTTCTGGCACTTCAGGTATGGGCAGCGTCAAGACACAGATCGCATGCTCGCCCTGGGTGCGCAGAGTTCAAGTCTCTGAGGCATATGTTGATTCAGAAGGACTGCGTCAAAGAAATGGAAGCAGTGACGGACGTACCTAGTTTTGCCACTCTTTCCCTCCTAGCCAGCTCGGGGTTGACATACTCAGAGTCACGTTTACATATCTTGAACTGGTTAATCACGTGTAGGTTTGTGTCATTACATTGATAGCAAGGTATTTTGTTCATCAAAACGAGAGAGAATTTCAGCTTCACAACCACGAAGCGTACTTGTACGAGCTACTGAAAAAGTACGATAGAACGGACATACCTACAGCAAAGGTACGAAGTGAAGACTGTTTCCACTCTATTTGTTTTCCATTTTTGAAATTCTCCGACACCTTCTGTTGGAAAACAGCTTTATATTTCAGGTCTACTTCACTCGGCAGTACACAGATGAGAGTCCTTTGAAAGGCTATATAATTATGGAATACATTGACGATGGTGTTCCATATCATATATTTGACAACCTGAAACCAGAATCCATGCTACAAGTTGAGATAGGCTCTTTCTCTAGCTTATTCACCCTTCACACTGCTAGGCTAATTTGAGAGCACCAGGTGCTCCCAGATCCCTGTTTGGTAGCTTGACTGGAAGTTCATCGGCACACTACGCAAAGAAAAAAGGGACTGAGGATCGAAATGACGCAGTAGGTGCTTGTTGACTTGCAAGTGAGGAAAAACGGATGGAACCAGCCCCCAATAAAGTCCTTTTTCTGCGCGCTAGGAGAAACTGGAATACAAATGGTCAAGGCAGGAGTGTTCACCAAGGCCAGAGAACGACAGACTAAGACGAAAAAGAGAGCATTTCGGGGAGTTAGACCCAGACACCGCAATAGTACTCAGGGTATCCATGGCTGGGTCTCAACCCTCCAATCTTTATATACAATAGTGACAGTGGCCTTTTTTGCGTGAGAACCCAAATGGTTCAATGACTTGATAGGGAAGGTTTTTGAATGAGTGATAGTGGACGAGGCCTTTTACTGATCAGTAGACTGGTATAAAGAATGGTATTGACTGTAGAATGCTACTTTGGGAATGGGAGGATCCTACTTACTGAAGTCAGATGTGAGAGACCCTGGCTTCTCCTTTACGTATCTTTCTTGAGAGATACAATTTTCAAAAATGTTTAGATTGTGGAAAATAGTAGATGTTTTAGTGCTCATACGGATTGTTCAATGAATGTATATTCAGCCAATGAAAGCGATCGCCAAGTTGCAAGCAACTGCTATGAGATTCTCCGCTGAAGAAAAAGCACCTTTCCAGTTCAATTTTCTTGGCCTCTTTTCCAAATTTTTCAGTAAAGAGGTAAGTTCCGTTGGGTTGCTATTTATTACATGTTCTACGGGTCTAACTACCTCTGACGACAAGTTTCCAGCAAATCTGATGATCCAAGGTGTTCTGAGGCCTTTTGGCGCCGGCAGCTGAGGCGCGGGCGCCAGGCGTTTGGCGTTAAACAAAGGCGAATATGTGTTCTACAGCTCAAATCACCCCGTGGACAACTCTTCAACCAAATTCAGGGGAAATTTTCAACAAAATTAGGCTCAGTTTCGAGGAGCTGGGCAGTAAAAGGTAAATAGTGCCGGGATAAAACAAGAGCGGAATAGTTACGTGGGCAGTGGCACTAAGCTTGTCTTTTTTCTACTCCCCCTTGGGAGGCGGCATGTCGTTAGACATGCAAATAAATAAACAAATAAATAAGTCTGCTTATAGATTTTTGTTTGCTCATGACTCATCAGGTTATGGGGGCCACTATTCAACCAGGATTATGAACATGGCTTTGAAATTTTATGTATCTGTTTGAGAAGTGATTAGAAGGGTGATATCTAGGCAATCGACGCACTTTTCACGATGATGCGTTCATTTGGAGGCGAGAGGTTGACGGACAAAGTCAATAGGGTGGAAGACATTCTCGAAGAGATCATCGACCTCGATCACATTTTGAAATTGCCAGCATCATTAGGTAATCTATACTTTTCCATTACTTTTTGGCTTCGATGTGGTCATTGTGAGACGCCTGGCTGTTCACTGTAGCACTTCAATCGGTTTTTCTTTCTTTTTAAGTGTCCGAAAAGCTTTTAGAAATTTCTTTCGCTTTATTTAACACGAAATCACTATACAAAGGCGAAAATCAGTGTGATCCGCATGGTGCTGCCGTGGCACTCGGAAAGCAAGGAATGAGGAAGGGAGAGGGAGAGGAGAAAAGCCAGCAAGCCTAAGGGCAAAATGAGTGCTCAGTTATCATTCCGGCGTGGTGTCATGATTGTGGTAACACATTCAATGAACACCCATTGAGCACAGGTTCAGTCAGTTTGTTTAGACTGTTTCAGAAAGTTCCAATGTTCTCCGCAGCTGGTTTCTTAATTTCCAAACTTAATTTCTGGCGCTCATGTCCATGGGAGACATCAAAGTGGAAGAGCCTTACTGTGCTTGGGACTAAGCCACCTCGTCACTTGACAATCAAATGTGAAGGCTGCAACGGTGGACAACAGCATGGACTAGTAAAACCTCCACATCGCAGAATCGCCGCACACGCGGCGAGTGCGATCGCCGCGTGCGACGATGAGCTGACCCCAGGAGCAGAAACGCTAGGCCGATGTCATAGTTTGCGAATCGATTCGCTAGCGAATCGCTGGATCCGAGCGTTGCGCCAGCGAATCGAACGTTGCACCAGCGAGTCGAACTATGTACCAGCGACTCAATAGTGGCGGGACCCAACGTTAAAGGAAGCCCGCCACTTTCAAACAGTGTCACGTGACAGTGGACGCTGTTTGAAAGTGGCG